AAAAAAAAAAGAAAAGAAGAAAGTACAAAACGATGATAAACGAGAAAAGACACGCTATTTGCGGATCATCGATCGATTCGTTCGCCAGTATTAGACACGTGTCGAGTTTAAACGGACGAAGAAGAAAAATCTTGGCTCGGTCCTACGATCGAGTGCGAGCACGCACGCGATAAGAAACAACATATTCTTACGGAAAGTGAAAGCTAACGTTTCGTTGATAAGATCCATGTCTTTCGATTCGACAATGAAATCGGAGGATTCCTTCGATGGTCCAAGATTTCGTTGAATCAAATCATCAAAATGAAAATCGCGGATGCTATCCTCGCACGTGAACTTTCATTCGTTTCGCAAAAGAAAGAAAAAAATTATTTCTCATCGTCAGATGGATCTCGCACTTCGTTCGAAAACGCACGGAGGGAACGTAGAACGATCCAATGTCTGTCTGAAGTAGCGAGCACAGTCAAGGAAGTTCAAATCTTAAGCAACGCGTTGTACAAAAAGATTAATTTCCCGGTGTCAGTCGTGTACATCAGCTTGTATCGTCTGCCAGTCATCTTATCGATCAGGCTTTTTGTCTCGGTTTCACTGTGGTGAGGGCTCCAGCGGATAGACACCACGGATATCCTGGTCGTTTCCCAGGGGATTGTATCCAGAACCTGCGGCAAACACGATCACGGTGAAAAGAAGATATTCGGACTCTTTGCTGTCTTTACCGGACAATCTTTAATGGAGATTCTTTCGACAATGATAACGATATTTGGCGTGAAAGGCCGTAAAAGAATCAGGAGGGGAAGAACGAAATATCATGGGACACGTGAAATTTCAGAAATTTCCGATGAAATCGATAGTTACCTGACCGTCTTGGGCATCTGGACTATCTAGACTCAGGTAATCCAACGTGGTGGCACTGTAGGCCAATAGAATGCTGTACAAAGGGAAGCATTTCAATCTCGTAGTCGGTAGACCCTCGTCCGACGACACGAGGCTATTCGGCCCCTCGCCTAACTTGGTAACTTGAACCTCGGATTCTTGATGATAAGTAATCTGAAATACGAATGAGCCCGCGTTGGAGATAAAACACTCGTTAGGCAGATTTATCACTGCGATTTCATCTCGATCGGTGAAGTACGTACGAATTAACGGATGCTATTATATGCGTTTGGGTACTTACCTCTTTGGTATCCTTATCGGTACTGAGACAAGCGTGAAGAACTCTGGTCTTTGGGTTCCTCGTGCTTCTGTGCGCCTCGAAGAAGCTTCTGGGATCAGTCAGGATCAGAACGCCTCTCCAACTTAAGTTACGTTCTAACCAGCCAGTGCTGGAAATGGCACCTATCTGCAGAAAGAAATAATTCGCGTGATTTAAAAGTAGAATGAATTATTTACATATCTGAATCCGAAATGAGGAACGAACTATGCCGAAGTATAGCAGCATTGCAAGACATGCGAGGCTTTCATGAAAAAAACAAACTGTTCACGAAGTTTTCATATTCTTTCATTTCGCCATGTGAATGTCAAGTACTAATCGAAACTAATTCGTCTCGCAGTCGCCTAATAAGAGATTTTACGAGGCATTGTTTCAGCGAAGAAACGAATTCTCAGTATATATTTACTACTTGTGGGGACTCGGTAGGAAGCAAAGCCGAAACGAATGAACTGACGTGACCGTATGAAAAGAATCTCTCTTCTTACCCTGCTGATGTATTCCACGTACACGCCCTCGCGCTTCCCCTCGGTCAGACCTGCCACGTACCTCTCCTCCGTGGTCTGGGTGGCATTCCACGGGTCCTGCTGAGTGGTCGGCTTCAGTTGAACCTCTCTGATGTAGGCGACTAATTCAGGATTATCCATCGAGACACTGTTCAGCACGTAGTCTCTGGTCATGTTGGCGTCGAACGCTTGCCTCCTGCAACGAAACGTCCGCTTTAATGTACAGAATATACACCAGTGATGCAATGGCCGGTCTCTCATTAAGCCCGACGTGCAAATACACGCGTGATGACGAGTAGAGATGGGCTCGAGCTACCTCGCAAGATAAGCTCGAAGCTTTTCATCCCTTGCCTTGCGATTTCCTTTTCAATCTTCTTGCATTTCAGTCTGTTTCAAATCATTCGTATCACGAATGTGTTCACAGAGAGTTAAAGTAAAGGATTTTCTAAATTTTCTTGCCAGCTCATCAACCGGCGTAGTATGATTTATTTCGTCGGTTTTGATTTCACGTGTCACGCATGGAAATCTAATTGCAAATAGTCAATTCAGGAATGAATACATATTACATGTGCGAAACATTTTTTACTCTCAAATAGCATTTGAAATCCATTAATCAATGATTACATATTGGACTTGATTCCATCAGTAATGATCTGTTTAAACTGAGTAGGGCATAGTAGAACTGTGTAGGATCGTTGTTCATGCCTTTGAGAATCTATCCGTATTTGTCTGTTACTGCAAAAGCGTTTCGGTACAGGTATTGAAGCTTAAAAATCGAGGTCTCCGTGTACGAATCAAGCGAATGATTGAATGTGTCGTTAAATGGGTCATTCGGGTCTTGTGAAAGCTGAGAGCTCCGAAAGCTTTCGGTTCACGTGTGTCAGATTTTACGTCAAATTTAATTAGAGTCGGAGATCGGATGACGAATTTGCGATTTGTATAGGGCCACGTTGAATTGCGAATTTTTATGCATTCTTGCGGATTTTTATGAATGTATTTGTTTGGGAATATGTGTACAGATATTTTATATAGGTCATGCAGCTTCGAATTTCCTAGAAATTCATGAAAATCCAGTCTAGTTATCAATATTTGCTTTCATTTCGCTTTCTGTTGCTGTTGAATGGAGGACGATTGTAGTAGGAGGATTTGATCTTTTTAATATGTAAATATTTTCAGAGTTCGTGAAAGCACGAGTATTATAGCTCACGGACGCTCGAGATTGAAATTTCGACGAGTAATATGAATTAATTGAGTTTCGATTTTAATAGCGATCCTCTTAGAAACTCGTAAAAGTTAAACATTCTTTCATTGAAAGATCCACGTCAAGCACGGCCTTTGACTACGGGCGTCGAGAGGAAAGGATAATCTCGAGTGACCTAGTAATTAACTTCTTTTACAATCGTATTTCTTTAACGCGTCTCAGGCTACGTAGAACTTTGTAGATCTCGAGAGAGATGCATAAGTGACTAGTTCATATTTGCATGTAGCAGTTTTTTTTTTTTTTTATACCTGCATGTTTTTTATACTTATTCTGGTATTTGTATGCTAACTATCAGATTGCAGACTTCTTTATGCAAATTCATATCTTTAAGAATTTACAATGAAGTAAAACAGAATCTCGGTGGAAAAATCGTTTTACATACTAAATATTGTAAAAAGAACTTTTTTATATATCTTACACCTTTTCTTCGTTATATTACGTGCATTCCGCGCAATGGTTGTTTTTGACAAAAGCTATGTTAAAAATCAGCAGTCTCTGTTAATAACTTTTCACATCACAAAACAATCCAGCGGTGAAATTAAAAAATTGAAGAGCAAACAGTATTGTGCATTTTATTTTTTCATCGTCTTGCGAGATGGATCTCGTCATAAAAATGTAAACATAACAACCCAAATTGTTCGGATTGCTCGCCAATCAGTGTTAATGACAGTTCAAACAATCCTTATCAATTATCCGAATTATCTTTACTTTGTCGCTGGGATCTCGATAGAAAGCTGCGATCAAATATTTGTCTTTCTACGATAAGACTGGCGACGAGTCTGAAAATGAAAACGACTCGCGACTCCTCGCGCGTTTCGACTGACGGGATATCAATCGAAAACTTGTTTATTTCTCCATGATTTTTGCCAAAATTTCGACAAACGATCATAGCATAAAATCGAGGGAGAAAATGTAATGAAAAAAGAAAAAGGACGAAAACTCGTTCAATTATTTGACTGTACGTTCTCGCTAATGGAAGGAATTCTGCAGAAAAGGAAAACGAAAATGTAATGACAGAAGTATCTGGGTTTACGGTGCTGTAAAATTTTTACGTACGTTCGTGCTTAAGGTAATAACAGAAATAAAATTGAGAAATTCTATGAGAAATTGATTCGTTTTGCACGCCAGAGAGAGTATTTTCCAATGACAAGTTAATTCATCGACTCTTGAGGATTCTTCAGGACGCACAAATTTTTATAGTAAAAAGTTCCAATTTACACGGAAACTTTATTTTTATTTTAATAAAATATATAAGAACAGGCTTGGTAAAACTTTATTAAGCTAAGGATTATTTCAGTCGTCAAACGCGCAAATTTAACAAAACTAAAAAACAAATTTGTCAGGGAATGTCCCTGATTGACAAACTGAGTACGAGACAACATAGATCTCTGTATTTCCAATTCATTTTTAATCTTTTCAAAGTAGATTGACCCATGCCTCGAAGAAAGAATCGAAGAGTTTAAATGGTCAAGATATTTCTGGGGAACGAGTAACGATTGATAGTGAATTTTCCGTTTCTTCAATTTTTTATGGGAAGAAACTTACCTCAAGGCCGCAGCTTCGCTCCAGACAAGGAGCAAGGCCATGGCAGTGGAAAAAGCGGCAAGAAATGCCAAGCATGGGGCCACTCTTCTCCACCAGCTTTTCTTGTAGTTGGCCATTGTGGCCCCTGACAGCGTCGAGCCCGTGGGTGGCTGTAGGACACCGGTAACCGGAGGTATCCCTGTGGGTGCCATTCTGCAAGCATAAAACTCACCGCTCAACTATTAAACCGTATAAAGAGAAAGACCCTTACAGACTATCGATTAGTTTACTAAAGTATAACCGTTCGCTTCTGATCAAACAGTTATATTTAAACAGAAGATCGAGTTGAACGACGAAAAAAAGATTCCCAAATGTATAATCCTGAATTTCACTCGTGATCAAACATTCAACTAGAAGAATCGAACTGAATGACAGAGAAGAGATTTTAGAAATCCTGGATTTCACTTCTGATCGAACAGTTACATTTATTCAGAGAAATCGAGCTGAACGAATTTGCAAAAAGAACTCCATCAAATGGGACGAACGGTTCAATGTCATAAACGATCAACGTATACCTACTGCACGCACACGGTGTCAACCTTGATGACGTATATTTGGTACCTAGAGGGAAGGATGTTTCATCGAATTGTACGCGTGGCGCTTCGTGAAAATTTTACGTCCCTTAAGATTCTATGAGCGTCGATGGTCGTAAACGACTGCGACGTAGGCCCTGCGGTGTCGACCTTTCGATTTGGCATTTCATATCTATAAAAAAACGATTTGGGAAAGCCTGGAGAAGCTATTCTTCGACTCGAACTTCACGAGACCTCCTACTTCGGACTTTTATCCCTATATTTATTCTTTATCGTTCCAACGTGTCTAAAGACGTTCCAGTACTTGAACGAAATGTTGAAAAGAACACAAAAGCTATAAAATGCGAAAAATAATACACTAGAGAGAAAAAAGAAATGGGAAACAGAAGATTAAGATACATGCTATAAAAAAAACAGAGAAAAGAGAAGAAAAGAAAAAGAAAAATAAAGGATCCGTGTTCTTAACACACGTGTACACATACTTTTATATTCATTTACCCCTTCTTTTAATTCAGGAAATCCCTGAATATTAGAAGATTTGTTTGGTGTGACAGAGATTTTGTTGAAACGTGTTTCTATTTTTCACACACGATTTTCAATAGGAAAATGCCATTTTAATCAGGATTGAAATTTCTTTACTTCTGGCAATTATCAAAAGAAGGTAACTACAATCACTTAAAATATTTCTTATTTTTAGATTTTTAACAACCAATACTTATTGTAGGTAGGTCATAAAATTTTCATACTACTTACATTCCTTTTCTTTTTTTCCTTTTCTCTTTTCTTTTTTTTTTTTTTTTTTGTACAAAGTATCATTTGATATTTTGAAACAAATGGAGTGTCCTAAGA